ATTATTTTTAAATTATTATTTATTATTATTAATAATAATTATTATTTGGTTATACTCATTCTTATGGAGACTCAAATTTATACTGAACAATTCTGAGGCATTAAAATTCTTGAAATGAATCCTGAGACTCAAATAACCAGAAGCATTCTCAAAATGACCTTTACTGAATAGATCCAATATATTCATGCACAATGTATAGACTGCAAAAAACAACAATTACATTTTAGATGTTACACACTCATATGAATGTGCTTAAACATCAATTTGGCAAATTCTAACTTTATGAAAGGTTAAGAGATTCTCGTATTTCCAATTAATTTTATGTGCTATATCCTGTGATATATTTCACCCTGAATTTACATGCTAACAGCTGAAGTCACTAAAAATGAATAACTACTCCCTTAAAGTGCCAGGCTCTGTATCTGATGAACCAGGCGACTGCATTTGAGACTATTGGTGACAGATGTCTGTGGGATCTCACCTGCTGAGCACACTGAGAGTCGCAGGGGAGAGACCCTTTTACTCACAAACACTGTCACTGTCGAGGTAATTAGTCCCTTCGGCGCCTAATATATAAACAACATATTTTTCTTAAATATATACATGTATGTGTTTGTATTTATATATACATAACACATATACACAGTATACACACATATATTATGTAAAAAAATTTTTATTTTGGATGCGATTAATTGTTTGACAGCTCTAATAATAATAATAATAATAATAATAATAATGTTATACTCATTCTTATGGAGACTCAAATTTATACTGAACAATTCTGAGGCATTAAAATTCTTGAAATGAATCCTGAGACTCAAATAACCAGAAGCATTCTCAAAATGACCTTTACTGAATAGATCCAATATATTCATGCACAATGTATAGACTGCAAAAAACAACAATTACATTTTAGATGTTACACACTCATATGAATGTGCTTAAACATCAATTTGGCAAATTCTAACTTTATGAAAGGTTAAGAGATTCTCGTATTTCCAATTAATTTTATGTGCTATATCCTGTGATATATTTCACCCTGAATTTACATGCTAACAGCTGAAGTCACTAAAAATGAATAACTACTCCCTTAAAGTGCCAGGCTCTGTATCTGATGAACCAGGCGACTGCATTTGAGACTATTGGTGACAGATGTCTGTGGGATCTCACCTGCTGAGCACACTGAGAGTCGCAGGGGAGAGACCCTTTTACTCACAAACACTGTCACTGTCGAGGTAATTAGTCCCTTCGGCGCCAATGCTTTCATGGAAGCCACATTCATTTTTATAAAGTCATCTATTGTTGCATACTGTTGCCATTTCCAGTCTGTTGATACTGATGCAAAAGAGCTAACTGTGTATAGTTAAAAAAATTTTTTTTAAAAATCAGTACATCAAACGCATCACATTTTGCCTTATTAAAAATTATGGCAGTGAAGGCTATGTTAGTTCTAAAGCTTTAGCAAAAATACACACAGTCCTGTGTACATAAAACTGGGGAACATAAAACTAGCCTTGAAAGCACACAAAATCCACACACCTTTAAAATATCTAAATACATAATTTGGCACATAATACAAGTCTTTTCCATTATTTAACACATTGTTCTTTTGTAGCCACTCAAGGGGATGGTGCTTTGCACACAGTAGTCACCTCTGGGGCACACTAGGGTAAAGAACTACACAGGGCAAATATAATGAAGCCTGGAAATAAAATTGCATAAAATAGCCTTTGAAAATTGGTCTGTGCTGCGTAACTACCGTACATTGTACCAGATTCACGCTGCTATAAAGAGCTGTGCTACTAAGATGACACATATTTGGTAAAAAAAAAGAAAAGAAAGCTCTGCTCTAAAATGATGTTCAGGGCCAATGCAATAATAGACATTATGCATAAAAAGATGTTTCTAAATAGGTAGTGACATCTATGGCATACCAGCCCATTCTCCAATTTACTATGAACAACTGCAGCATACAGTTTAAATATTCTATATAAAATGATACCTGAATGTTTTATCCAGACACTCTAACATACACTACCATTCAAAAGTTAGGGGTTGGTAAGATTTTTGTTTTGTTTTTGAAAGACATCTCTTATGTTCAACAAGGCTGCATTTATTTGAACATTTGAATTTTGAGCAGCCATTATTCCAGTCTTCAGTGTCACATGATCCTTCAGAAATCATCCTAATATGCTGATTTGGTGTTAAAGAAACATTTCTTATTATTATCAATGTTGAAAACAGCTGTGCTGCTTAATACTTTTCCAGAAACTGAAATGCATTTCTTCAGGACTTCTTGATAAATAGAATGTCTTTCACTTTTGAGAAATGTAATACTTTGCTTTGTAATTTGTATTACAATGTTTGTAATTTGTAGCTTTGTTGAATAGAAGTGTACATTTATTTAAAAAAATGTCATGACCCCAAACGTTTGAACAATAGTGTAAATCCAAAACATTTCCTTACAGACGATCAACACTATTGACCACAAACCTTTCACTGAAAGATAAACATTTGAATAAGTTTTAATCATTTTCCACAGCTTTGCCACAAAGCAGCAAAGAGTTGGATGTGAGGAGCATAAGGCAGCAAATCCCTGTCCTTTCAAATCAAGGATTTAAGAATTACCAGCCTGTAAGACAAACCCTTGCTTTCCCAGAGAAGGTCACACAGGGTAGACCCATGTCTACTTGAATAAATATTTGGAAAACAGTGTACATCAGGACTGACTGGGCAGTCTAAATGTTCCAGACATGACCATTTTCACCCCATCAGAACGTTCTGGTGCTAGTGTGATTATTCTTGTCAGATTTACAGAGCCTATTATAGAAACACTAGCCAATGTTATGTAATCGTGATGTCAGGCACAAACTGTGTGAGGAGATTTCACCTGTCTAATGCACCTGATCCCAAGAATCAGGTGCCTGTCAGTCTCATAATATCCCGAAGCCCATGTGAACATCAACCAAACTTTCATCTGAAGGAAAGAACAACATCCCCCAGTTAGTTACTGATGCTGATATGCTCAAATAAATGTCAAATTTAGTGGGAATTTGACCTGGAAGTGCCTATAATCTTATAAGCACTACCAGACTGCTTTGAAATGACTTTCTTCAATATAATTAACTCCGCTAGTAAATGTCAATTCATATGCCAGTAACTAGGTATGCATATTAACAAAAACAAGCATATTTATACAATTTATAGAATAACAGACGTAATCTGGATTAGAGAAATTACACCATCTGTTCATTCACACACTAACAAACAAACTGCTGATATACGTTATACCGCCTAAAAACGTAACAGGATGAAATCATAAGCCGTTTAAAAACTCAACTGGACGTTTAAAAGTGTTAATACGTCCAGAATCAGCCGACTGACAGTCTGACATCACAGACGCAAATATAGCCAGTTTGTTTGTTAAAATAAAAGGCATTCCTATTTCTGAAATCTAGTATCGAACATAATAACTAAGAAAGCATAGCATAATATGAAAATAGTTCACCTCCCAGTTTGTCCTGCTAACTGTAATTTAACCAGCATCTCTTACAGCATCAATAATACTGAAATCCTGGTTTCCTAACCGATAAATGAATTACCCAATCCAGATTTACACCTGAATAAACATAGCTAGCTATAATGCAAAGTTGTGTGAGTTTGAGGCTTGTAGCTAACAGGCTAATCTGTCCCATCATCACTTAAGGATACAGTTTAAACCCCTTCATAATCTCCTTCACTCTGTCTTCATCCGAAGACATCTTTTTCCTGGATCTTCAACTTCAGCAGATGAAAGGAGACGAACAAAAACGTTCCGCCGAGGAATAGCTAATAAATATTGGACAAAATAGTTTGTTAATTACATAAAATCCACTTCGAAAAAGCTTTTAGTTACAGTGAGATCCAGCTTTAATCTGAACGGATACACTTGATCCGCTCACAACCTACTGTAAATAGATTTTTGTGGGAGACTGATAGCTGGTTCAACCAATCATCTTGCGAGTTTTCGAAGGCCTGGATTAAATGCGCCAATCGTAGCGGAGATGCAAGAACCAGGGCGGGGTTTGGTTGCGTTGGTACGCGTCACCGATGGCAACCCCTCAAACGTCCTTCGAACGCAGCAGAACGGAAGCGCGTGTGAGACAAAAAGTTATCTGTACATAATTTGCTATGGAATAAATAAGGCGCTTCAGGAGATAACATATAAATACATTTCAGATGAATAGCGGTCTATTTATGGACAGTGGGCTTTAAACGAGGCCAGTGTACGTACAGATTGTTCTCTTTTTTATGTAAAATATTTTGATGTCACGCATTGTAGTTAACAAACATGCCAAGTAAGTTAGTTCAGACAAAAAGATGCTGGAGCATATGGGTCAACCATCTTTGTTTGTACTCCGTTGTATACTTTACGATAGATTTAAAAATAACATAAAATAAAATTTATATTTTCTAAAAGTTAGGCTATATTTTTCAAATTATTAACATTAATAACATGTATTATAATAATGTTTTATAATAGAAAGGCTCATCCTAATGTAAACAGCGTGCTTCAGTGTAGTGCAGAGTAGAGCAGAGGGTACTTTATGTAAATTCATGAATTCTTTTTCCATCAAAAAATAAATAAATGAATAATATATATATATATATATATATATATATAGTTTCTCTCATGTAGTCTATAAATGCAGTTTAGCAGTTTTCTATATAATGAAAGCTCTGTGTCTGCAAATTATATGTCTAAAAGAAGCCCTGCGGCTAAGCAAAAACCAGCACAGGGAATAATGATGGCTATATTTGTGCAATTTATGAACTAGTCTCAAAATGCTCTCCTTGTGATTGAAGAGTGGTCATGTAAAAACCACAGAGATCTGTATAGAGTTCTCCATATGTCTCTGCTCTACTCAGCACTACACTACAAGAACGAAATTTAGCCTATATTAAGATAAACAAATTTATTATAAACAATATATTTTATTATTTATTTTATTTTATTGTTTAATTTCATGCAGAGGACCTGTAATGGCAGAGTGTGGCCAGGGGATGGTGCGATAATACAAGCAAAGAAAATAACCACTTTTGCAGAGCCTTGACCTCCAACTTTTCAAGACATTAATTAAGTTCACCTATTCATTCCACTCATTACATGTATTTGAAATGAATACATGATTTTAGCTTACACATAGTAGTAGTTTGCACTGAAAAAAAAACAAAAACAAGTAATTAAGTAACAGAATATAGAAGTAAAGTTCATGGACACTTAATCATTCATTAACATTGCCACAAAAAAATAACAAATAAAAAATAACTACATATTCTACAGCCTATATTACAATGGAGATATATAATCCTTCATCAACCACAGCTCTGCTATTTCAGAGATATCACAGCCAAGAGTGAAAGGATGAGAAACTGGGAGGAGAAAGCCCTTATATTAACAGTAAATCTTATGTCTCTGCAGTGGTCTGCAAAATCCCATGCAATCTATTACATAAATAGCTGTCTCTGCCTCTCCCAGCAACTTGAAATATACTTGTGCATGGATTTCATTTTTCCCTTACAAATACTAAATTTGACATTGCATCTTTCAGTCAGACTGCTCAACCACAAATAGCACTGTACACTGCATTTAAAACAGGAGATCTATGCATGTTCTTAGACTTGCAAACTGGCATAAATATTACACAAACACTATAAAGTTCCTGATTAATAGGTTAAAAAAACAGGAAATCTCTTCCAAGGAGACATTATGCCAGAAAACACACTTTCACATTTTTATTATTTTTCAAGCAACTGAGCTTTACATTGAGCTAAATGTACTGTTACTCAAATTCTGTCAAGTGTCAAATGTTGTTCTGGTCAGTGTCAGTTGACTCAGTGATGGAGAATGATGTCATATGAAAGACAGGAGCAGAGATCCTCTACGCCACAAACTCATCACTTCAAATTACTCTTCCAGAGAGGAGACAAACTTAGACTTGAGCTGTTCAGTTAATAATTACACCTTTCACCTCATCTTTAATGCATGATTAGGTCTCATATCAAAGGTGGTATGATGAAAATGCTCACAAAAATTAAGACAGGCCTACTGACGTATATACCCCATAGTACCTCTCTATTTTCTTAAGCACTCTTTCAACCTCTATACACTTTATATAAAATAAGCAGGGCATGTTTTAGCTACTACATATTTACATGAACTAACTGATCTATTTTTAAGCAATACTCTTAAGAATTACATTCAGTAAATTTCATCATCTGCTGTTTTCAATAAATACGCTTCATTTTAAAGTTTTATGTTATTCCAGTTCTTTGAACAGAGAGTTGCTTTTGTGGTTGTTATCGTGACAATTCAGAGCAGTGAGGCCATTACATAAAAGACAGTGCTGAATCCAGCCTCACACATGTAATGCTGTTTTATGATGTCAGAGCTGCAGCTGTTCAAATCATTTCGACAAAAGACAAAAATCGCATTACCAGTTCCCAGGAAACTGCAATATTTTGCACCCTGTTGTTTAGTGTGGTAATCTCTTTAAAATCATATCACATCAAAAAATTTAATTGCTTTTGGGATAGGCCTATTTTAAAACATGTAAGATTGAAGAGAATCTATCTCTCTTTCTGCAACTATCCAGCAAGCACCCAGGACACCCTAGCAACCAACTAGCTACCATTCAGAACACCATAGCAACCACCCAGAACACTATAGCAACTGCCCAGAACATCGTAACAACCACTGCAGAACATACTAGAAATACCTGAGTAAGTACAAAGCAATACCCTAGCTATCGCCAAGCAACCAGACAGAATGTCTTAGCAACTGCATAGCAAC